TGAATCAAATATTATCTATCTTGGATTGAGTTTTTTTTCTTACCTTTGTTGGTCATCTCATATCCTATTGACTTCAAAATTGTATTTCGCTTAGTTTTAGGTTAGTATACACCACAAATTGACATCATTTGAAGCCTAGAAGTAGCGGTCAGCTGTTTCAACCTAGTATGGGGCTTTTCAGCTATGCGCACCCATGGTCCCACTAGAAATTGAACCCATGGACTTCAGGTTCCATGCTAGCTCCATTTCTTTGAGTCACTGGGTAGGAATCTAATGGTCTTTATTTCATACTTCTTTCAGTTCATAACTTAGCACCACCTCCATCCAATGTCGTCGCTTACTAACTGTCTTCACATTCATTTTGGTTGGTCCCACCGGTTACTTCTTATTAGAACTTCGGAAAACTCATCTCGAAGTAAGTCATGAATGATTACTACAACTGATGTTAACCTATGAGGAATACTAACTTGAAGTAAATAAATAAGTCCGCACGAACCTACAAGTTAAGTTATTTCGTTTAACTTATTACATATGGAAGCTGAAGCTCTTTTCCACTTATGTCACTTTACCTTGTTCTTGCTTGAATTGCTGAGAAAGGACTACGTTATATTGTGTAGGGCTTTGAACGCTGTCAACGGTGACTGACATTGTAGTCGGCCGACATTTCAATTCATATGGGAAATTGTCTATAGTCATTGTACTGAACGTCGAGTGTCCTCTCTATGAACAACTTTCTCCTTCTTTCTTCTCAGAAAGGACAAGAAACAGTAATTTAAAACATCATGCTCGAATGACTAAATAACAAGATCTATACATACCCTATTCAGCAGTCATCTAGTGTGAAGAAAAAGACTGTTACATCAAAACTTATAAGTTTTGTAACAGTAACTTAACATTCATTTCATTCTTGTAATTATTCATGCATCATTGTCTTCACTATCAACATTATTTGCACACTTAAATTGATATGGTTTATCCTACTGAAGATAATGTAATGGAGTACTTTTTTATCGTGACAGTATGCGCTGAGCATTGCAGTCTGCACCAATAATATCGTCCTAATTAAGTGATTATTATTATAATATTCATCTGGAGATTTAAATAATTTATTATACCACTATACTTCAAACAAAAATATGCCATTTGATAAAGCAATAGTATGTTTTTCTTTTGAATTTCGAAGTGAAATGCAAAACTGATCATGAACCAGTTTCTAACGTATAAAACACTTTCATAATTTGATAAACTCATTAAAATCTGAACTTTGAATATCTTTAGCTTACCAGTCAGTGGTTAAACCATATTGCTAGTTCCCACAACTGCCTATTTATGGGGAACCGGCACATATGACCCCCAATAGTCAGTGACCAATACAGCTAACAACTTCTCAGTGCGCATTGCTAATTGAAACAAATCTGTTAAATCAGTTATGTACCCACAAATCTAAGTTAGATTGGGCTGTGGTGGATTTTATTTGGATATCATATGTTGTGATCCTCTGTGAGCAAGTAGGTCAGTGTGAATGGTTGAACTGTAAACCGCTGAATCTTTACTGCAACAGCAATAAACCCACGTGTTAATAAATAGGAGTATGACAAAAAGCACAGATTTAACTGGAGAAACATCACAAATAAACCAACATACATTTCTCAAGGGAGCATTTATTACTGAATGACATCAGTTGCAGTTCAATTGAAATTCTGAGAACACTAAACAAATGTTTCCTCCTAGTTTGAGGGTCGAATAGAAAAAATATAGAGAAGCATAATCTCACCAGTTACATTACATTCTTGTAAGCTTTCGAAGCTTCCAACTAATTACCGGAAGCTTGCATATTTTTAATATGCATGGGTTATTTCTGCATACATTTACCTTACGGTATTTTTGAGATGAATGGGGATCTTAATTCTGACGCAGTATTCATAACGGACTGATATCAGTTGGAGAGCCACTGAAAACCTGAGAACACTGGACAGCTATTTCGTCCATGTATGAGACTCATCAGCAGTACTCACCCACAACCCGCCTACGGATGGAACTCAGGACCTTCAGGTTTCACGGCGAACGCATTAATCATTCACCCACTGGGTCAGAGTATATTTTTAATCTCTATAGATCATTTCTGTAAACATTTACCACACTGTTTAAAAAGTACAGTAATCAACCATTTAGCTTAGGTATATGAGTCGAAAAAACATTTCCAACAAATTACGGACATTCATCAACAGCTGCCTCTTACGCTCATCCGATACTGAAGATCAGGTGGCCAGAAAGAATAAGTAACAAGGAACTCTGGGGACGAACCAATCAACAATCTATCACCCAAAAAATATGCAGAAGAAAGTGGAGATGGATTGGGTATACATTGAGAAGACCGGTTGGGGACATCACGCGCCAAGCTAGTTTCTCGAGTGGAACCAGCATGGGAAACGATAAGTTGGGCATCCTAGCTAAGGGTGACATAGAGATCATGTGAGGAAGAAATGAAAGCTTGTGGGCAGTCGTGGAGCCAGGTTTAAAAGACTGCAGAGAACAGAGTGCAATGGAGGCATGCTACTGAAGCGCTACGTTCCACTAGGAACCCAGAAGAAGTAACGTAGCACTAAAAATTACTGAATAAATTAGAAACAACCATTTTGCAATGCAGCCAAAACAGCATTTCGCTCCACAGGCTGCTCAATATTTGCATGAAGCTAAAAATAAACAATATACGATAGGTGGATTTTAATTGTAGACTCATTACCAAGTAATAACTGTTGCGATGAAAAAGATGAAGGAAGACAAGATACTTTTGACAATAATCACAGTAAACCAACAACTATAAATCAAGAGAAATTGCTTGAAAGACATGTGTCATCATAAAATATGTGAACTTTTAACTGAAAGGAATTAGTTTTGACGAGATTCTCTTGAAGAACAGGCTGAACTAAGGAACATTTGAATACAACGCGTACAGAAAAACATACGGAAGAACCTAAACATTCAACTGCTGCGGAACAAAAGTATTCATTTATTTATTTATTCAAGAGAGGAAGAATTTCAACGAGAATAGACAGAAGCAACAGATGCATTGAAATGGTAATTTCCAGTCGTCCAGGTAATTTCAGTTAACGGCTCTGAATTCTCTCTAGTTTGTATTAGAATGTTTATTTGATATACCATACAGCGATACAACTTTGATATCTTATTTCACCTCTGGTTATCTTTGCCCATTCACGTGTATTTATGGCAATAACAACATTTAGCGATTTTAAAAAAGGCATCTAATAAAGTTTTAGGTAAGAGAGATCCTCTATGGTAGCGTACCAGCATTTTTATCAGTGAAGTTGCAAAGCACCTAACTGGTTACTCAATATTATTTTGACTGCATGATTTCCTCATTCTGCTTTTTTTTAGTCAAAGTTATTTTGCAGCTTCTTTGATGAACTGTCTACCAGCCCTCTTCTTGTAAATTTCCACCGCTGGCTCTAGGTGTTAGGATTCAATCGGCAGGAAGCTCTGTTTGACAAAGTTCTTGGACTTGTTGTCATTCATCAGGAAGGCATGTCTGCTGCCATGAAGAAGCTTGTGTTCCTTTGGCGGTTTGCACTGGCATCATTTTGTGCTAAAGGCAGTCAGAGAATTGATTACTGAGCCACTTAGGCAGCGGTTAATTTCCAACATCTAACACCAAAATGCATCGCATTACAGTTTGGATCACCCTGATTAGTGGAGACATTGCAAAGTAGACTGACGTACTTCAATCAGTTCTGTGAACTGAGAACAAAATGGCTATATTGGCTATCGATTAGTGACTTATTTGGATACTTTTCTGTTTATCTGATCTTCCTTTCAACAATGAAATTCGCTCCCTCTGATCAGATAAATTTTGACTACTTTTCTCATTAATTTGATTAATTTTGCATACATTTCCCGATTCGCATCTATTCTAAATTATCAGGTTTTCAACTTTTATTTCACTTTCAACCGACTGAGAACATGATGTACGCGTTACTTTTGAAAACTACATGGAATTTTAATTTGTTTTCTTCCCAGTCAGTAGTTATGAAACCAAGTAAATTCATTGTATTATGTGAATCATTTTGTGTGTCTTCTGTTGAAAAATTAACAATGGAATGAAACATTATTTTTATAGCTATTTCTGTACAAACGAATTATTGTTTACTAGTATAGTATCTAGGGGACATGAGTAGATACCTGGAACTTAACTGTAATCATGTGATAGGTTATAAAATACAAGTTATTTTTCCCGTAATTTACTTCTTATATGCTGATAAGGGTTACTGACAATTTACACTATATCCCATATTGAAGCAAATTCATATTTTTAATCATGACTGTGGGGAACCAAGACCTTCGATGGGATCTCAGTATCTGAAAACGCATCGTTTATTTCTGAATTATCTTGTATGACTAGACAACTTCACTGAGGATGTCAAACAGAGTTTATCCTATCTTGGCGGTGTCACGAATGAAGAAATCTTTATGGCTAGTTCCATACACATTATGCTTACCTAATTGAATTTTAATGCAATGCTAATGATATATGGATTCTGTGAACTGTATAAAGTACTTATTATCATAGTGGGAATCATTACGCCTTTCATTTTAGTAATTACTAAGTGAATACATTTTTGTTGTATATCCAGAAAATCACTTTCACCTACAGCTAGGGGAAACTACATGTTTGGCGCTACAACTTCTAAAATAAATGTCTTATTCTATTTACAAAGGCCATGAAATTTCATATCATTAGACGAAAGGTGATGAAACTAGTCAGTCATTCAGACAACCAGTCTGTATTGATGTTGGGCGTAACATTGTTATATAGTGATTTAAGTCTCCATACAACATATCAGGACATCAAGATATATGACAGCAAGATAAAAGATAAAAATACACGAGAAAACAATATAGTCCAAGGTGGTAGAAAGTTAAGAAGGAATAAGATAAGCAAAACAAAACAAGAAACAGAAGTCCATACAGGTGGAGTGACTTACCGTATGCTTTGAGAGGTTGGACAAATTTTGATAGTTTGTATCGAAACTTAAGTCCTTTGTTAAACTTGTTCCAGAATTTTTGGTGGTACAGGTGTTGGGTATTTTGTACGCGCATTTCTTGTGGAAATTTTGATCACAACCTATTATGAAATAGAAGAGAAACCTTTTTAAAAAAATATAACATAAGGACAGTAGTAATATAGCTATCGAAATGCCCAGATTACTTTTCAATACACCAGCTTACTTCTGATTACAGGTCAAGACATTTCTTTTCAAACGATAAATATGGTAATCAGAAAGAACACCTGATTTTCTGTTGTTTTCATATAAGCTTCACACTTAGATAAGGACTGTCTGATGTACGCAAGACAAGATGAGAGAATAATAACGATTAGATCAGTTAGGAATTTTTGGAAATATCTACCTTTTTTATATATTTAGTTTCTTTTTAGGTGACGTCATTTTATATCTTAAAATTTTCTTCAATTCCATAAAAATCAAACAAATAGGTGATTAATAACTGTGAAACGTTTTAACATACTTCACTTGAAGAGTCTTAGGACGCCACTTATTGTTTTGAAGATCAGAGAAAGCATTACAACTCAGAATCCAAAAAGAGGCTTAAGTAATAAAATTGGATCAAGCTAGTTACATTTTATGTAAATCAGTGTGAGAAATGTTGAAGAATTGGTGAGATAAGATTAAAATAAGTAGAAGTGTTTACCCAGTTATGTGAAGGAGAATATGGAAACGAAATAGTAAGTTGAATTCATGATGAACTGACATCAGTTGGAGAACCACTGAATACCTAAGAGAACTGGGCAGCCGTTTTGTCCTAGTATGGGACTGCTCAGTAGTACGCGTACATTACTGCACAGTGCTTATTAGTGAAATGCTTTGAGATGGATATCCCCCTAGGTTCTAATAAGGAGCTGTGATCTGTGGGATCAAACAGCCGGAGCAAAGCGGATGCCAACTGAAGACCTTGGGTGGTAGTTACACTATATCACGAATTGACAGAAGCACGAAACTGTGCACCATTTAACTCCTACCCAGTGGCTGGATGATTAGCACTTTCGCCATGAAACCTGGAGGACCTGAGTTCCCTCCGTAGCCTGGTCATGAGTGCGTAATGTTGCGGAGTTCGAAACTAGGAAAAAACGGCCATCCAGCGCTACCACGCTCCTGTTAGTTTTATAACTAATGTCACTCCATGATGAAATATTACCTTAAGCATAAAATTCCCACTAACCTCCAAATAATAAGCGGATAAAAAATTATTTTAATAACAGCAGTGGTAGTAAAACAATAATCATTAAAAGTGAATGGGCGTAAGTAAAACACATACGGTTTTAAACTTTTTGGAAATGAGAGGTTGAAACGTTACTAATTACCAGGGCAGTGAAAAATTGACAACCGTCTCCTTTTCAACACACAAATCAGGTCAAAATCACTATAGTCTTATTTTTTGACTATTATGAAAGACTTCACTGCGTCTACTTGGTGTCCTGTATCACACAAGTGACCAGCCACTGCAGTGCTGAATAAGGATGAAGTTTTCAGACGCTGACTTACTCTGGAATCCCAATACACAACTGCCTGTCTGTTCTTCCTACAAACATGCTTCCCATTTACATGTGAATTGGAGTTAAGAAGACTGGGAATTTTTTACGCTTTCAACTGTGTGATGGAACATGTTACTGAATTCAGTGACACAATTCCTGCAGCTGGACAGACCTTAAACAGTGAATTTCGAGTCTGTCTATTGATCCATTCAACAGAATCGTCACCTTCAACGAGCAAATTCAAAGCCACCGTCTTATTTTCAGCAGTTTTACACTCTTCTTTCTTTTTATTAATTTTTTTCAGTATTTATGCGTGAGTTTCATAGGATAACCATTACCGCGTAGACACTGTTCAATGAATTGAATTTTTTCAGTTTATTTTTGGAGAACACACTTTTTTACCCTCCTGACATACTATTCCCGTGCAGTTGAGTGATCCGTGTGATATTTCAACAAATTTACTTCTTGTACAGTATTTCAAAACTAAGTAATCATCACAGTTAAATAATTTTAACAATAACGGTATGATTAGCAAAAAGACAGAACTACCAGTATTTTTTAAGGTAGTATGTAGTTTATGAGTATATTGTTGCACCCAAAACCGCGGATAGAAAATCAATCTTAAGTATGTTGATGGAGGTTCCATCAACTAGTATGAAAATGTCCACTTCAAGCTAAGTAATTCTGCAACAGGTAGATGATGTACTGTTGTGGGCTCAAGGTCCCATTATCATCTGCTGTGGTATTCCCTCGTAATTTTGCTGTTGTCTAGAATTAGATTGAGCATATTTCAGGAATGCGTAAGATTACATTTCACGATCTGCTGATATTCCAATGGTTAAAACAAGTAAAAAAGGAGCGGTTAAATGGAATATATAAGACGAAGATTTTCGGTGGCTTAAAGTTGAAGTCAATGCGATTGATCTGAATTTTTTATTATGTAGAAACCAGCAATAACTGCTCTGACAAAGCCTGAAAGTAATAATATGGCACTGGACTACAACAGATTAGTTTACTTAAGGTTAATATTCATGTCAGAACCATGGCAGCACCTAAAATGAATAAGTATAAGTATAATAAAATGAATAAGGTTCGGAAATTAAATTATGAGAAAGGGACTGTTGAAGTGGAGGCAGATTCAGATCAGATTCAGAACTTCTTACTAAATCAGGACAGATTATGTGTATAATACTTACAAATGGTAGGAAAATAAAACAGCTCCTAAACCCAACAAAACGTTACATATAACCTCCTTATCTATCAACCAGCGGTCACTTTCTATGTCAGCTCCTATATCCCACCTGGCGTATCAAGAAAGTACAATCAACAGAGTGGAAAAAGGCTGATTACAGATCAGTGGTGCACATAAACCCCAACATACACTAATGGTATAGAAGCATCGTTTGGCAATCAATCACCTACCACTAGAATCCAGAATGCCATGCTGCCACACTTCCTTGAGCGTGATAAATCAAATCGAACACTCACTAAGTCGTCCCTAAACACAAACACCTGCTTCAGTCTACATGTTCAAACAGTATCATACCCCACACACACAATCTATGAATCAACACTAACAACTAAGCGTTCATCGAATCTTCCAGCACAAATCGAAATTCACAGGGTAACGAATAGTTGGCTCAATCACTCCATCCTTCCTTGTGTTTTAACTCATCAACTGCACAGTTCTTTTTTATCATTTCAAAAAATTGATACACACATATGCACCTCTGTTCCACTCAGCTGCTCGTCACCAACAGAAATTCTCGGCAGTCTGCATCGTTTCGAGCCAACGAGCAGTTGTTTCAAGAAAGCTGTTATTCAGTGAGATATCAGACACGATTAATCTGTGGCTGCACACTCCACATCAACTAGTCATCTTCAACGTACGGACCTCGGTTCAGATCAGACAACAGACAGCAAAACACCACACTATTGGTGTATACTGTATCACGGAGACGAGAAAGCGAAATCTCAGTCAAGTGGTGTGAATATATCCTGCATCTGTCAGCTCGACATCTGTATTCATAGTTCACTTATCTGGAGATGATGTGGCATCAGCAGCACTCCTTCCAATGTTTCGAAACCAAGCATCACAGACAAAGCTGCAATGGTCGAATAGACCTTCATCAGTGACCATTATTTTGCAGCTAAGCTGAAGGTTCGATTGGAGAGAGACGTAAGTGACAGTGGAAACATTGTCTCTTCAGTATCTCTACCTGCTTCTCGACTGACTGCAGCCCGAAAGCAGTCTAGCATTAGCTCTATCACGAACTGTGTGATCTTTTCTACCAAGCTCACTCGACAGATATTGCAGTGATAGCTGGAAACTTAAATACATAAGTCGGACGTCTATGCAAGATGAGGGGATGTTCAGCTGATGAATATGAAATAGCCGGTTGCGCTCAACCCAAACCACCCACACCAAATGACCCAGTTGAGATGGTCATCAAACAGATGAATAAAATGACTACAAAGTCATGACAGAATGGATGTTCTGCATCACTCTGGAATAAATATATTGTTGAAAGCATCTTCACAAAGCGCCCATCCAATACACGTGATGATCATCTGTGGTTTCGGTTTGCCACTGGCAGCATCTGAGGCGTTGGCTCCCATCACACTTCACAGACTGTGCAGAACGTTGCAGAAACGGTTCCGCAAGTGGATGATTCTTCATTCAACTTGTCGATGCACACCTACCAGATGCATGAACACTGTCACACGTATTGCAGGCCAACGACAGTTGTATTTCGCGGTATGGCAGTCGCCTCCGATCCACTGGACAATGCTGTCTCCCAGAATCGTTCGTTGGAAGAATTCCTGCCTGAGAATTCTGTTGACGCCTTGAAAGTCGTCAGTTAATCAGTTAAATCAAAGGCACATAGATACTTATCACCATCGATCAAAAACAGTTGAGTAGTGAGGCCGAGGTGTCACATTTTGCCATTCTCCTTTGACGTCACCACCGGTGATATTCCAGAGACATCTCAGCAGTAAGAGTGTTGTGATGGTGGTGGTGGTGGTTTAAAACTGTTGCCAAATGAAAAACCTTTCGACCTTGAGTATTTGGATGACAATATTTCCCTTGGAGACTAAATACAGATTACTCAAACCACACTCAGTCAGTTAAAGTTCCGTATGCATGAGTACGGTGTATGCTTCGCACCGTCAAAATCCAAAGTGCTTCTACTAAGGGATCAGGGACCTGTACCCTCACTGACACTTTATGGTGAATTACAGGAGGTTGTCAGGATGTTTGTGTATCCGAGGGATTGTTTCAGTGTTGTCGGAGGTGTGACTGATGAGATTTCCAACTGTGTCGGAAACCAGAGTGTCATACGTCAGTCTGCGTCATTTCTGGTTTGGATGTGACATCAGTTTTCCTGTGAGAATTTGGGTACACAAAGTGTCAGTTCTAGCAGTTCTGCTGCACACCTATGAAACGTAGTCTCCGCGAATTGAGGATAACTGACAAATCTGCGTTCTTGAACAGGGTTTTCTCCATAGGATTGCTTGAACGCGGTTAAATCACCGTATAATTGATTCTGAGGTGAAGTGGGACGTGTTTGCAC